ATTTAGTTGTATTTAATTAATTATTGTTAATGTATTATTTTAGAGACAGTTCTACAACAAGTAATAACCAGATACCTGAAATGATATCTAATAAAGAAACAATAGAACCACTTTCTGGCATAAATTACTCCGCTGAAGARGAGAAACACATAGAACGTATTTTAGATAATGAATTAAATGATGTGACCCCGGATGTATATACTTCTGTGGCTGTGACTGGAGAACATAAATTAAAAGTAAGTTTTTCTGAGTTTAATCTAAGTAATAGTAATTGTAATTTAATATTATATAATTTGATGATTTAGAAATCAATTAGTGAAACTGAAATTAGTAATGTGCCAAATTCATTAGACTTATCAGATTCTTATATAAATCAAGAAATACCTGTTAGTTTAAATTCCACATTTAATGTAACCGAGGATCAAGATATTGAAACAATTATTATTAGTGACATAAGTATGAATCTAAATGAAGCAAATTCTTCAACCCCTAAAGTTCAATTCAGTATTGGAGATTCTGCCAATCATACTGTAGCTACTGTCACTCCATTAGACAGTGAAATTGATTCTGGATTTATCTCTTCTGAAGCTGTGACTGTCCCTGAATTAAGTAAAGAATTAATTGATTTGAATAAAAGTGACACCTTTGCTGAAGACAATAATATTGAAAAAGTATGTAAATAATAATATATTTAGCTTATTGATGTCCATGTAATCTATAAGTGGTACCCACTTAGTCTGACTGTATTTATAATCTGAATATTTTACCACAGTTATACAAAAAATGAAAACCAGATGTCTTTTTTTAATGCTATACAGGCCATTAAGGCCTTTTGCATGCTTCCATCTAGCCTAACTAGATATTTCTAGTTGTTAATAAGCATATATCAGATTATTTTTACTTTTTACTCACAACTTATTTTCATTTATTTTTATGTTWACTTTTAAGAATAAACTTACTCCATTGACGTTGGATTTGGGAGGTACAAGTATGAATAGAAGTTCAGAAGGTATAATAGATCTAGAGTCCACTGGACAACCAGATATGATGACACCTGATGAAGCTGAACAATTACTTAGCACAAAGTAAGATTCTAACTTTAATTTTGCATGTATTATACATATTTTAGTTTTAATTATAAGTTAATTAAACTAGTTAAATTTAGTTAAAAAACTAAAACTGCAGTGGACTTCCTTATTATAAATAAGTTTAATTTATTCTGCATTCTCTAAGCTAAATTTCTTTTTGTATTTTTACTTTTTTCTCAATTC